TTTCTAAGAATTTCTCAAGAATAAAAATTTAATTTTTAATTTAAATTTTAAAATTTTAATTGTGGTTTTGATATTGAAGGGTGACATCAGTGAAAATGGCGGAGTAAGGACCTCGGAAAGTTTGCCCGTCAGTGGCAGTGTGGCCGCAGGGAAAAACTGGCAAAAATGGTCAGAATCTGTGTTTTCAGAGCTCTGGAAATTAAAGTCTAGCAGCAACTCATTTAACATTTAGTCAAGAAAAACAGCTGAATCTAAGTGAAAACATCAAGCTTTTTAGCGTTTTAACTTACCCTGGTCCTAGCCCCTCAGCTCCGTGGCAGCCTTGAAAACTAACAGCCCACACTCCTGGTACCAGTACCAGAGAGGGCAGAACGGGGCTGGAGCTTTTTCAAAACTGCATTGTTTGACCCATCTCCTGGTTCCCTGGAAGGCCCTCCTGAAAGGGCTTGTATTTATTTGTCCTCACTGGAACCAGCCCAGTCCCAATGGCTTCTCCCCAGGGGTGGTTTGGTGTTTTAATATCATGATTGGGGGACTGACACAATGGATAAGAGTTGAGGCAAACAATAGACTTCACCAAAAGTTTAAAGGAAGAGCTGAAGGATGAGATGTCCACTGGGGCTTTGAAAAGCTCCCGCATATTTCTAGGAATCTAGAAGGCTGCATGCACGCCTCACTGAGTGCTTCTCCCAGAAGTCACAATAAAGGTTCTTGCCCACATTTTCCCCACTCCCTCTGCCTCCTGGCAGGTGTGCTGGCCTCCTGTTACTAGGGATCTGTGAGTATAAAAACATCTTCCTTCATAACAGACATCTTCATGTGTGCACGTCTTACCATACCTGATTAAAACAAAGCCCGTTTAAAACCCAGGTCATGGAGGGTTTTAAGGTGGAAGAAGAGTTAGAGGATTCCTACTAGACATCCAAGTGGAAATGCCCAGCCTGCACTTGGATCTGTAAGTCTGGCACTTGTAGAAGGGGTCAGAATTAGGGCTGTGAACAGAGATGGTTAAACCCCCAAGACTGATGAGATCACCCAGTAGGGGTATAAAACTGAGAAGAGAAGCCCGAGGATCTGCCTCTCTGATGAAGACTGAGCTGAGGCTGAGAGGGAGCAGCCACTGAGGTCGGAGGAAAACTGGAATGAGGGAAGGATGAAAGCCAAATATTTAAATATTTCAAGAAGGAATGATCAACTACACTGAGTGCCATCAAGAGACTGAGTGAAAGAGGGTAGAGAAATGTGTTATCTATTGCTATGCAACAAACCACCCCAAAACTTAGTGGCTGAAAACAACGGTTTATTTTTCATGATTTTGTGAGTTGACTGAGATCAGTTGGGTAGTTCTGCCCTGCACAGTATAACCAGTCATTCCTGGAGCTGCATCCAGCTGGGAGCTCAGCTGCGGCCGGAACATGCAAGATAGCCCCTCATCCCCCAGGGTCTCTGTGGCTGCTTATCACTTGGTAGTCTGTCCTGAGCTTCTTCCTAGTATGGTGGGTGGCAGAATGGTAAGAACAAAATTGGAGGGGGTTGAAGCACGAATGGGCAGTGAGGACATGGAAACAGTGAATGGAGATCGTATCTGCAGGAAGTTTTGCTGTAAAGGGAAACAAGAGGTGGTGGTTAACAAGTGACCTTACTACAGGGAGGAGGGGGATGTGGAGTTAAGGAAGCTTTTTGTCCACATTTTGTTCTAAGATGAGGGAATCATAGCTAATGCACAGTTTCTTTTTTTTTTTTTTAAAGATTTTATTTATTTATTTGAGAGAGAGAGAATGAGAGAGAGCAAGCACATGAGAGGGGGGAGGGTCAGAGGGAG